GCCCCTCCCGGCGCACCCCGCCCCGATCCGGCCGCGCAGGCCGCCCAGCCGGCGCTAGGCCCCGCGCTCCGCCCGGGCCGCCCGCCTCACCGTTCTGCTGGTGCTGCGCCGGGCCCAGGCCCGGGCCTGCGGGCGCGGCCGCTCCGCTGAACTTGGGCGGGATCCGGGCGCTGGCGGCCGGGTGAGGGGACCCGGCGGGGGCCGACATGACGGCGCTGCTGGCGACGGCGGCTCCGCTTCGGCGAGGTGGGCGGAGGGAAGGGAAGGCGGGGCCGGAGCGGCGAGAGGAAGAGGAAGGAACACGCCCGGCGTCACCGAGGGAGTCACCGGGGGCCGCGGCTGAGGTGCTCACGCTCCACCGCGGAGCCCAGCGCTGTCGCTCGGCCGCCGCGGGCGCGGGGATCCTGGCCCGCCCCGCCTTGCCCCGCGCCGCGGGACTCCCACCTCGGGTCGCGCCCCGGACGCGCGGGCCTCGCGCCGCCGCCGCCGCAGCGCCCTCTGCAGGCCGGAGCCGAGCGGGCAGGCCGGGGCGGGCCCGGGCTTCAGCGGCCTTAACGCCGGCCCGCGACGGCGGCGCCCGCCCGGGCCCGGCTCCCTTCGTTCCGAGGCTGGAGGGCTCAGCCTCGGTGCGGGAAGGGGCCGTGTGGCCTCTCCCACCTGGGGCGGAGGCTGGAACGGCCGCGTCGGGCCTGGGCCCGGCATTATTGGGAGGGGATCTGAGAGCTGCGGGGTGATGTCCGGAGCCCTGGGCAACGCCAGACCCGACTGACCCGCGCACCCTGCCTCCGAAGAGGACCCTGCAGTTTGGTTTGGGTTTTTATTCTTTACTCCTCTCCTCCCCAAATTCCAAAGGCAACATGGCATTGAAGCTCCATGTCTGTTGGGAATGTATAATTCCTCGGCAAAAAAAGAGGAAACATTTCTCTATGATAAACACAGGAGTATCCATAAGAATTCACTATTCAAAACTTTCCCCACTGACTTAAATAAAATTATCTAGGGAAGAGAAACGGGAAATGGAGTAAGGGAATGCCAAAAGACAAACTTTATTTTCCCTTTTTTTTGCTAAGGGTTGGCTTATCCTGTTGGTGTTCGGAGAAGTTGTGGCATCCAGAAGAACTCAGATTGTTCAGTCTACTTAGTGACATCTTTAAATCTGCCTGGGCTGCCCCAGCATGCTAAATGGCAAGCCCTGCGCTACATTACCCGAGTCGTTTTGCCATCTTGGAATCATCCAGTGATGAGTATGCCATCGTTCTGTATTGGAAATGAAATTTCTCAGAAACACTGAATTCAGAATGGGATCGAGCAAGATGATAATTTACTGAAAGATTATGCAAAGCATAAAGTGCATTGTTGTCCTAGTACAATGCAAAGCTTCCCTTTAGTTGTTGCCATAAATTAATGATACTTGGTATTTAATGCACTAAATGAACTACAAATAGGATGTTAGTAGTTGGATTTATACTTTTGAATGCTAGGAATTTCAACTACATTATACACGACTACAATAGGGGCAAAAGGGGCAAGCCCTTTTCACGGCGTTTCCAGCTTCTTTACGGAAAACTAAGCCCCAATGAGCAAAAAGCTCACACTCTGCTTCATCAAGGAGATTACACAATTACAGGTTCTAGTGCTTCCCGGGAGTCCTTTGAATCTGGATTAAGGGCTACAATTTTGTGGGTAAAGGCATAGCTAGGCAATTGGCTTTCTGCCCCTGGAATGTGTTCTCCTGAGTATAAGAAGCCGATTTTAATCAGAGGCATATGGAATTAAGGTGAACCCTGTCTCTTAAGGGGACACATTGGGACTCTATGTTTTAATAGATCTTTCCCACAATCTTTAGCACCTAAGGTACTTCCACTTGTTGACTAATTTGCCATAGAATGTTTTCTAGCATGTTCGTGATGGTATTCAGTACACACTACCCCAAAATATGACACCTTGGCATATTAAATCTTCTAAGCTGAAGGAATTTGAGAAATGGCAGGTGCAGGAAGGATTCTGACCTTCCCCTGAAGCAGGTCATTAAGAGCTTCATGTGAGAGGTGCCCTCCCTATACCCGGAGGAAAGAAGCATTCTTATCTCTGAAGGCAGAGGAAATGCCAAGAGGAACCTAAATGAACAGGCCTTGCTAGATTTCTCTTACTTTACCGCTGTTAGCTCATACCTCTTTGTGTCCTATCACATTTTCCCATGACTCTCTGCTCTTCATCACACCTAGAATAAAACATTGAGGTTTAACTCAGTTTTCTTAGGATCTTCATTTCCTTATGAAGGCTCCAGTGTCATACAAAACTTATATTAAATAAATTTGTATGCTTTTCATTTGCTAATTTATCTTTTGTTATGGGGACCCCAGCTGAGAACCTAGAAGGGTAGAGGGAAAAGATATTTTTCCTCCCCTGTATTCTTTTACATGACAAATCCTACAACCTTTATAAAAATGTTATTTCACTCTATTGCTTTAATTTCCATTACAGCTGTCAGTGAAGAAAAGGATAAAAAGGATTAAATGAATACTTACCATGTACTAGGCATTGTGCTTGTAACTTTAAATATATATTTTTTTCATTTAGTCCTCACAATAATTCTGTTGGATTTTTTTCTTATCCCCATTTTGCTGGTGAGGAAACTAAGGCTTTTCAAGTTCAAGCAATCTTAGTAAAAATCATGCACTTGTATTAATAATTAGCAAAACCAAAGATCAAACGAAGGTCTGTTTAGTTCCACAAACTTTGCTCTACTCACTATAATCCACTCTACTGGGTTATTTTACATTTTTCTTCACAAAGCTATACTGACTATGACAATCTTTTGCTTGTCAAAGTATTTTCAGTTTTACATATATAGAATCTGTTCCGGCATTGGTTAGACTGGTGGACTGCAAAGCTTTTGAAATGCAAATTCTTAGGCCCAACCCCAGACTTACCGAATCAGAAACTCTGGAGATGGTGGCCCAACATGAAGCTCTCCAGGTGACTCTGATCTACAGGAACATTCGAGAACCACTGCTTTTGAATAGCAAAGTTAAGCTGAATGGGTTCATTCTTTCTTACTTTCGGAGATGATGGTGCTTTTTTTCAGGACATCTCTCTAATCTTTTGCAAACCCATAAAAGTGATATTTTGTAAATTTGTGATTATAGTATCATGAATGCCAAATATTACAGTTCCTGTGTCAACTCGGATTCTTTGATGTGATGCGCAGCGTTGATACAGATGCTGAGGCCCAGTCTGTGTCCAGTGGGAAAGAGCTATAATTGAAGTTAATCCCGGCCATACATGCAGAAGAGAAGTTTTTGATGAGTGTCAAATTGTGACACACGTGCCACTATCTGTCATCCCCAACTTAGAACTCGTGTCCTCTGCAACAGAAGTCATGGAAACCTTGGGCAACCGAACACCCATCTCTGTCTCAAGAAATGCTAGTTCTTTCTCTATGGTAGCCTGACTTTCCATATTCCTCCGCCAAGTTTTTTTTTTTTTTGAGACAGAATCTCACCGTGTTGCCTGGGCTAGAGCGCTGTGGTGTCAGCCTAGCTCACAGCAACCTCAAACTCCTGGGCTCAAGCAATCCTCCTGCCTCAGCCTCCCAAGTAGCTGGGACTACAGGCATGCGC